CAATGATGCTGTAATGTATGGCAACAAAATAAATATAGATGAGTATGCCTTGACTGTGTCAGCATACGTATATCAACAAATATTTTGAAGACATCAGCATCACAAACAACATCACCACCCGGGCCAACAAATGACCCTGGATGGAGGTTTGGAAATCGCTAAGAGCACAGAACTCAGCTTTTAAGTCTGGTGACAGAGAGGCACTGAGGAAAGCTCGTGCCAACTTGACCCATGCCATCAGATCAGTGAAGCAGAACCACAGCCGGAAGATCCAGGATCTCTTCCATGATGCCAGCAACATCAAGAGGATGTGACAAGATATGCGGGCGATGCCTACAGGATATATATATATATATATATATATATAGTAAGTCTGGTTGCATTTAAAAGAAAAAGCTCAGCAATTACATTACAGCACCCAGCTGGCTTAAATTATTGTACTTTTGTATTTTACACTTTCTGTCTGCTCCTATTTTGTAAACATAAGCTTTTTGATTATTTACCAAAACAAATAAAAAAAAAAAACAAAGAAGTAATTTAGACGTTTACTGGGAGCCAAGGAACTCCCAGCAGAGTTGAAAAAAAAAGAGGAAAAGCACCGGAAAACTAAAATTCACAAGTGTGATAAAGTGCGCAAAATTTGAGATGCAAAGAGGGATATGACTACGGGGAGCGCTCTGAGAATGCCATTAACATTTGTGTTAACTGAAGCCGGAGCTAAAGCTGCAAAGGTTACAAAGTTCAGAGATGGAAGAGTAGGTATGGTCAGCAGATTGCAACGGCGTTCAGCAATGTTTTTGTATGTAAATGTACACTTTAAATATATATATTTTTTTATTACACAAATTGTTTTTAGGACATGGTTTTCCGCTGATATTCTGCTAAAATTATACTACAGTATATTAATTTTTCTTCTTTTAGGTAAACAAATGAAACAGAAAATCCAATTAGTCATATGTTCTTTATTCAGATATCCCCAGAAAATGACACAAAAATATAACAGGATGATGCACTATGGTATAGATAACAGAACCAATGCGGTGAGTGACCCGTTCCATCGGTTCTTGCTGATGTTTTATGCTCCATTGAAAGGATGAATAAGGCGACACAGTACATGAACAATTCACCAGAAAAATACATTTTACAGACAATTGCAGAATGCTTACAAACATGGCAAATCAGTCAACATGAAACTGTTAAATTTTGATTTTTCAGTAAGCAGATGTTTAGGCTGTTTCTGGGTACGTTCTGGTCAAACATCCTGATGAACAGCTCTTTCCCTGCAGCTCTAATAAAAACACAAAGACAGCCAACGCTGTCAAAAGAGGATTTCTTATTCTGAATCGTAAAATTCATTGTGGGTGTAGCATATCCAAGACCAGAATTAGACCAGGAAACAGTAAATTAGAGAAACACATAAAACACATCTAAAGGAGAAATGCTGAATGCAGCGTCATGTACAGATGCACAGCAAACACATTAATGATGCTGACATACAAATACAAAGAAAAAATGTACAAGTACAAAAAACAACTGCAACTTCAGAAAAGCTGTAAACAAGCTCCACATTAAGAAAATGCTCCAAACCACTAGGGGGAGACATTCACCAACACAGACCGGACCAGAACATAAACTTTAGTAAAAATTTACTCCTAGGGACCAGATCCTCAGGCATGAAAATAAACATACACAAACCAACTCTTCATCTCTCTGCGCATTTATGTCTTTATTTAACGTCTGATCCCACATGAGCTTGAGACTGTCTCCCCCTAGTGGTTGGAATCACTTCTTTTAACTTGCAGGAGGTTTTTGCTAGTTGCTGCATGTTGACTTTGCATATGTTTTGTGTTAGCATCATTTATGTCTTTGCGTACGTTTGCACTTGACTGTTCTCCGTTTTCTGTGATTGTATCATTTCGATTTTGAAGCATTTTTCCTTTGGTCTAACATTTATATTTGCTTATCTCAGTGTTGTGTTTGCAGTCATTTCCTGTATATTTGCACTTCTCAGCCACTGTAGGAATGAAGTTTAAAAAATATGTATACATGTAAGTTGATAAATTTGTAATCATTTGCTTTTCACCAGCTACAGTAGCAGCCGTTCAAAATGGTCCTTCCCAGTCAAACTCCAGCTGGATGGCAGCAGCCCACTTCCCTCCAACTCCCAGCAAAATCCCCTCCAACTCCCAGCCACTGGAGTGACCCCCCTCTTGCATATCTTTTTCCTGACTCCATCCTTTCACTGCATTAAAGGGTTTTTTCAGGAGATGACGTTTGTCTTAATCTTGACAGAAATAATATTTTGGTACAAATATTGACGTTTAAAAAGGATTTGTAGAGGAACAGCCAATGAAAGTGGAGAAATTTTGAATGGCTACTACTGCATAAAAATCATATAAACGGGTTCCTGACTCTTTCTGACTGTAAGTAAGAAACAGGCTTTTAGCTAGGAATATTTATCACATCTTCAGGCTTTGTGCAGTGTAGGGGGCTCCGGGGTTTTCCTTCCCCCAGGAAACGTAGAAATTTAGACTCTCTGAAACGCTATTTCCTGCACATTGAGGTGGAATGCAGCTAACTTTTTGTCTTTGTCCCAACATTACTCCTGTCCTGATTATGGGAAGCATGTTTGCTTGACTAGAGGTGGAAATTTCTTAAGGAAGACGTGAGATAATTTTTAGGTACAATATTATGTTTCATAGGTTAACTGAAACAATCAGAAAGTCTAATGCTACGTTCACAGCGAACACGTTTTAAGCATCAAAAAAGCTTCTGCTGCTTAATTTCTGATGCTTGTCCACATTAAAGTCAGACGTCCAGTAAAGTGTGTTCAGATGCGTCTAATGTTTCTGCTGCTCCTGTGTTTAATGAGAGCGGCTTTGCTATATTTGCAGTGATCAGTGGGTAAAAAGTAGTTTTA